ATGGGGGGAGGGGGGTTGTTACTTTGTGAGGGTGAAAAGGGTAACTATTGCATTGTTCTGTACACCTGAAACTAACAATAAAAAATAAAAAAAAAAAAACTTTAAAACTCAGGTTTTTACTAGTTAAGAGTCAGCTTCCTCTCACTATTACCCCCAATAATTAGTCCAAATTACCCCCCAATAATTAGTCCAAATTAATAACGTTACTATAGATGATACAGTATGGTGGGTATCAGCTGCCACTCTCCCAGTATCTATTTTCCTCCCTGAACAGTACACAGAGCTCTGTGTACCCAGACCTCCACACCCACGTGGTGCTTTGGGGAAAGTTGACACACTCCCCAGTAGAGGGACAGGCCAATCAGGAGAAAAATCTCAGGTCCCCGCCAATCAACAGAGGGCATTCACCTCGCCATTGGGATTGGCTAAGAAATTATCACAACTCATTCCAGCCAATGAAATGCCAGGGTTGGTTTGCTGGGGAGGGACTTCTGGGAAAGATACTTTCTCAGTCTTTTTAAGAGTTACTAGAAGGGATGTTTCTTTACTTCTGCAACTATGAGCCCAAGAACTCCTGCAGTCATTCTGCCTCCATGAAAGAAGCAGGCCTGAGGATGAACTGACACGGTGGAAGAGTGAGCAGAGATGAAAAGAAACTGGACAGTTAATAATATGCTGAGCTGCTGTTTCACACCTATCCTGCAGTTCACACCATGAGCTGATTAATGAATTGCCTGTGCTGGGAGCCCCTCTGAATTTGGTTTTCTGATATTCACAACTCCAAAGAATCCAAACTGATAAATGAGAAATAAGCACTAATGCACAGATTCCTCTAGCACTTTCTCAGATTTTTGCTTTACACTGTTTCTTAACTGCTCTAAGTGTTTTGTGTTATTTTTCTAGAGAAAATATAATGGGTCTTCAAGAAACACTTTCATGAATTAATGAGTAGCCTTGGGCATGTTGCTTGACTTCCCTGGGTCTTTTCAACTATAAAAAGGACTAACTTTGACTAGAGGGTTTCTGTTGCCCCTTCCAGCCCTCACAGCCAACAGTTCGGGTTCTCAAGAAGAAACATCGTTTATAATATAATCCAGGCAATCTGCATCTCTTGCTCAGTCAGATATTTTCCATTTGCATCTCTGTATCTACCCTCCACCCTTCTCCACTCAGCTCTGAGCCCCCAGAGGTCCTGATCTCGGTGGACAGCATCAACATGGCTCCCTGCCTTCTGGCTTCCCACTGAGTATGCCTACTGGGAGGTACCATCACGAGACAGGAGGACTGAGGGGAGTTCAATGAGAATATGTATTCTCTTGGCTCTGAACCGGCTATGTTGGTGTTGACTGCATCCTTCTACCAGAGATAACCTTTCCATACGGCTTTTCTTTCCAGTTCTGATAGCCAATCCCACCCCCTTCCTTTCAGGCCTAGGCATGGGAACAGCTAGCTCCCTGACACTACTAGCCCTGAGACGCTTCGACACTCATGCTGGTTTCTGTTACCCTGCCGACGCCACTATAAACAGTCCCTTCAGGAGAGTCTCTTGGAGTACTCCACTTGAGTGAACCATCTGTTTCCTACGGGAACCCCAAGACACAATGGCTTAAAAGTTAAATCAAAATCAGCCACAACAAAAAAGAAACAGAAGCGATCAACTTTGAGCCTCACATAAGAGAGATAAAAAGTGTGACATTTGCTGAGAAAAAAGACCCGCACACACCAAAAGAATCAAATTAGACGTCACTACCATCCTCCCCCATTGTCACTGAGAATTTGTGGAAAATAGACATCTCTTTTTAGGCCAGGGTTTTAACCAAAAAAAAAAAAACTGTTTATACACAAATGTATTGACCCTTCCGACAGCTTTTGTGTAGGACCTGGCAGAGGAATCACAGCTATATGCCCATTTTCTAGACAGACAAACTGAGTCTGGAAGAGAGCACAGGGCTACACAGCTGTAAAAACACTAGCAATGCCCAGGGCCAGCTCAAAGGCTCCTTGATCCGGGAATCTGCCTCTGACAGGCTCTGTGGGTTTTCTCCAAGCGGCCGTCTACAATACAATTCTCCAGAGATGTTTAATTCCCTCTTAACACTTCTAGAGCTACCATCCACGAACATCCTTTGGATCCTTCACTCTTCACAACTCTGCAAATTTGCACTCAGCCCCATTCCAGGTGATGCTGAAATTCCAATATGTCATTCCACAATCACTGACCATTTCCCAGGCAAAGTTTTCCAGAAACCTACGGGGTGCTCAGGCCCAGAGCAGCCCTTCCCTGCTTCTCCGGCCATTTTCCACACCATAATGATCCAAGAAATGATCTTACGACCCCCTTCATCATAAAGCATTCAAATACTCAGCATTTCAGAGACGCTACCTGTTTCAGGGTTAAGACGCTTAATCGTTCAGGGTCGTCCTGCTTCTGTGTCGTCCTCCTTCAGCATTCTCCAGATCCGGGGCCTGCGGGAGTGACCAAACCGCAAATTCAGGATATCTGGCTTCAACATGGAACAGATCAGATCATATCAATCAGGGAGAGAGACCAGAACCAGCCGAGGATGGAGCCCTGAAAACCCCACCAGTTGATGGACCTGCCCAGGAAGAGGACTCTCCACAGGCTGCTGAGGGAAAGTCCCAGAGAAAGAAGAGGATTTAGGAGAGAAAGACGCCCAACTCCATTCTTCTATTTCCTCAGGCCCAAAACCCAGGGGTCACTGTGACTTCCCTTCCCCTCACACCCCATGTCTAATCCATCAGCAAATAATGTCAGCTTTATCTTCAAAATATATCCAGACTACCACCACTCTTCACCACCTCCTCCTCTGCTACCTCTTTGGTCCAAGCCGGCAGCTTCTCTCATCAGGTTATTGAAGTAACCTCCTCACTGGTCTCCCTACTTCCACCTTCACCTTTCTACAGTCCGTGTATTATGTGCATTGAATTGTGTTATGGGTTGAATTGTGTCTCAAATTCCTATATTGAAGTCCTAACACCTGGTAGCTCAGAATATGACCTTATTTGTAAATAGGGTTGTTGCGATACAATTAACTGGGAAGATGAGGTCATACTGGAATAGGATGGGTCCCCCTTCCAATATGATTGGTGTCCTTATAGAAAGGGGAAATTTGGACACCGACACCCACACAGGGAGAGCCATCATGTGATGATTGGCATTATGCTGCCACAAGCCCACAAACTACCAGAAACTAGGAGAGAGGCCTGGACCAGATCCTTCCCCAGCACCTGCAGAGAGAGCATGGCCCCGCCAACACCTGCATCTTGAAATTCTAGCCTCCAGAACTGTGAGACAATAAATTTCTGTTGTTTAAGTTGCCTGGTTTGTGGTACTTTGTTACGGCAGCCCTAGCAAACTATCACACCGTGCTCCCCACAGCAGCCTAGGTGATCATTTAAAAATCCCTCTTCTGCTCAAAACACTCTTCTAGTGTTTCATCTCCCTCAAAGTTAAAGACACAGTCCTTGCAATGATCTACAAGGCCCACAATGTCCTGGCTCAGCCTCTTCCCTGAACTCTTCTCCTCCTGCTCTGCCCTTTCTCAATTTCCTCCAACCACATGGCTTCCTCAAATACCCCAAGCAGGCTCCTGCCTCAGGGCCTTTGCACTTGTCCTTTCCTCTGCCTAGAACACTCTTTCACCAGACATCCTTCACTTCCTTTGGGTTTCTGCTCAAGTGTCACCTTCTCCATGAGGCCCTCCAACCCCACTCCTACACCCTTTGTCTCCCCCTTCTGTTGTATTTTCCTTTGTAGCTTTATCACTACCTAACATTTGATTATATTTTTATCCCTTTTCTCTCACACTAGACTGCAACCTCTCTGAGAATAAGGACATCGTATTAAGGTATGCCCCAGAGCCTGGCGCATAGTAGGTGCTCAAAAAATAGTTGTTGAAAGATTTATTTGTGGAATGAAAGAAGCCAAGAGAAAGGAGAGTTGCAAAAAGGAGGAAGTTGTCCAGTGTCAAAAGTAGCAGAGTCCAGAAAGATAAGGACCACAGTGTCCGTTGGGTGTGGTAATATGGAAGCCACGGGTGACCTTAAAGAGGGCAGTTACTGTGGAAAGCAGGAGCCCTCTGCAGCAAATCCACCAGGTAGGTCCCTTTCCTGTGCCAGGCACCCCTCCCACAGGCAGAAGCCAGCCTGAGTGAGCTGTGACCACAAAAGAGCAAAACCCAGGGCAGATGCTTTCCAGACTTTTGTCTGTGAGGAAAGGTGAAAAAGGAGTGTGAAATAGAGGGGGGTGAAAGTTTGAGGAAAGACTTTATTGCTGAATTACTGAAGGGAGTGAGGTCCCAGGAGCTACAGGTGACAGGGGGATCTATGTACCAGAAGGTTCTCTGGCCGGGGGGAGGGAACGTGTCCTTCTCTGAATGGAAGGAAACTAGGTTGGGATGAGCCCAGATGCCAACGGTCACCAGGGAAGGGAGACAAGAACCTAAATGGGCTCACTGCTGGGGTGCAGTGTCGGCTCTGAAATGGAACACCTCCTTCAGTTTTGTGCCCTACGTGCCTCACTTGCCTCAACCAGTACCAACCCTGCTCCCCTGCTTGGAGAGAGCTGGCTGCTGGCCAGCACCACCGAGGGCCCAGCTGAAACTAGAGGCTGTGTGTGTTTCATAGAGGCATAAGCCGCGTGGCTGTGGGGTTTCTGGGACAGGCCCTCAGCAGCCTGGATTTAGGACAGTCTTCCTAAGGCTGAATTCGGGGACCCCAAACAGCTCCATCCATTTCCATCAAGGTTGCATCATTCTTCCAGGCTTCCAAATTCAACCCTTTGCAGCCCCTTTGAGTCCTCCCTCTCCCCTCCCCCAATTCCTCCCAGCGAATCACAAACCATGCCTCTCCCATTATGAGAGTACTCCTACTTAATGGCTGTGCGGCACCAGTTAAAATCCTCACACAACAGTCCTGTGAAATGTTTTCTGCTTCTATTTACAGATGATAAAACTGAGGTTCAAGAGATTAAGTAACCTGCTCAAGGTCACACAGATACCAAGTGACAGAGCTGGGATTTGAAACCTTTCATCTCTCTATCTTCTTTTCTATATTCACGTCTCCACCCTAACCCAAGTCCCTCAACATTTCACCCCTAAAATTCAATGTGATAAATGTTATCTAACTCACCTCCCAGCAACCCCCATTTACAGTGCACACTTCCACATGAACCGCCTTCTTGCACTGTTTTCACCTATCTCTATCCTATTCGATTGGCTTTGCTGCCTCCCCAATACAGGAAAATTTCACACTCCACAGCCACCCCTTGAGATCCTTCAAACATGACGCACACCCTTTCTTCAATCTTGTTTCCCACGTGCACGCTCCGCTCCACCCCATCCCGTAAGCTCCTCCCCTTCCCATGACACCCCTCAAGGTCCCAGTCCTGGGCACATCCTTCCCCCTGCAGCTTCACCCTCTGACCAGCCTGCTCCCCTGCAGTCCACTGAGCGGCACCACCCCAGCTTGCGGAGCGCTCCCCTGCTCTTCTGAGCTCAGTGTTTAGCCTCTCTTGGCAAGTATTCCGTTTGCCCAAGTAGACTGCAAGCCCCTCGAGGGTAATTAATATCTGTGTTGAAAACGCTTGGAACTGCACACTGCTCAACACAGGGTCTTCAATGGAAAACATGATTTGATCCACAGAACAATGCTGATAAGACTCAGATAATGTGTTTCAGAAAATACAAGAGACCTGGGGTGGGTAAGAAAGGGACTTGGGGCCTTCTTCAAGTTTTTGGAAGCACACCTATTCTTCCTTTGCAGGAGCACCCAGAATCTGGCACCCTAAACAGCTCTCCTAATAAGGTGAAAGGTGGCTGGGTTTAGCCCTCCCCTCCTCTCCCTGTCCCTATACGCTTGGTATCCTTTCTTAGCTACCCCTTCACATGCTTTCATACACATTGATAGAGAGCCTATCTTCTACCCTCTTCAAGGAAGAGCTTGAAATGTGAGCAATCTGGCTGAGGGGAGTTCCTGGTGACCAGCAGAATGGTTAGCGCTGGGTGCCCAGAGATAGGAAAAAGGGTTCTCCAGTTCTGAGAAATTGGGCATTGGTCCTAACCCACTTCAATCGTCAGCCACGGACCACACAATTCTGGGATTCCCAGGGCCACAGGGGGAGAAAAGGGGGAGAATGGTTGGGAAAAGCGAAAGTCAGCAAAGCCCTCAGGGCCATCAAATTACACCCCACACAGACAGAAGGAGCAGCACCTGACTAGAAAGAGTCTGAGAGAAAACTATAGAGACCAAGATGATGCTATCTCCAAGATGCCCAATAAGAAATCAAGATCTCCCCACACCAGTGGAACCAAAGGCGCAGTGTGGGCCTCATGACATAGCTGAAATAACAGCAGCTTTAGCTACAGTCGGGTCTGGGATCAAATTCTGACTTAGTCACCCAGTGGCTGTCCCACCTGGGGCTGGTCACTTAACCTGTCTGAGCCTGGTTCTGCCTGAGCTCATGTGAGGCCTAAATAAAACAAGAAATGTATAAAACCATCTAGCATAGTGCCTGGCATTATATAAGGGGCCCCAAAAAGGGTTGTTCCCCTCCCTCCTTCCAAGCTTTTTCAGATCTCACAGCCCCAACCCTCGCTAATAGGAACAAGTACAGAAGCTACAGAGCATTTCCCAGCAAGAAGGTCTGCCAAGGGTGGCAAAAGTCAGCAAAAGGAAGGAGGACAAAGGGGCCACCCCATGGCCGCTAAGAGAGAAACGCTGGACCTCTGTGAACACCTAGGTTTCAAAACACACAATGCTCCGAGCCTCAGACCAAACCCAAACAGGAAGTTTGTGACAAACTTAGCAAACACGCATGCACAATTGCAGGAGGCTGCACACCACTCAGAAAAGATGAAAACCAGCACTCGGTGTGTGTCGGGGGTCAGTGTGGAAAAAAAGGGGTGTACCTGGCCGATGTTCCAAATGCACAGAACTCCTCCTGGGTGCCAGGGAGCTCCTCACCCCAAGCACTGGGCCAAATCACATGGAGCAGCTCTGGTTTCCCAAAGCCAGGGTCTGTCAGCTCCTCCCCACTGTGTCCCTCTCTCCTACCTCCTCAGGCATCTAGGACATCGAACACTCGAACAGTCATCAGGGGCCTGGGTGACAGGTGTGAGGGATCATTTTTCAGCTGGGAGAATTCGGCACAGAAAAAAGAAGTGATGTGCGGGGGTCCCACAGAGCCCCTCCATCTCCATGTGGTGGCCTGGCCAGTGCGTGTTGCATCAGGCCCCCAAGCGCTCCACAGGGGGGTCCTCAGGCTGCCATTTTTTTTCTCCTCTGAACTCCTGCCTGGCCTTAACAGTTTCATGAGCACCGCTGACACTGGTACGGAGGCGCTATAACTTCAGTTCATTTTTTTGCAAAGATGGACACGCCTAAGCCTCCATGATTTGTGTCTCATCTCCCCAGCCAGGGTGAAAACTAGGTGGTTCCTTTCTCTT